CCCTCTGGCTCTGGGGATTGGGACATTTCCCTTCTTGCAGCTCCAGCAGGGTCTGTGGCTGTGAGTGACGACCCCACAGCACATCAAGGACACGAGAGAGGCAGATCATCCCCCACCTTCCCTAAAAGTCTCCGTGGAGAGCAGCTCCATCGGTTGCTCCCTGCCAAGGCCAGCTCAGGGCCCTGCAGGATTCCCTCGGCTCTCCTGGGGTGGCTCCATCCCGAGAAAGGAGGGAAGGTATTTTCCCTCTGTGACACCCATGCTTCCTGGGATGTTCCTGCAGGGACAGCGGTGCCTGGCCACATCCAGCGGTCCCGAACCCCAAACCCGGCCCTGGAAGCCCCAGAAGAGCAGGATTTACTCACAAGCGATGCGCACCGACGCCTTCCTGCTCTTGGAGGTGCCCAGGTGGCTCCAGGCCACGCACTGGCACCAGTAATCCTCGGGGCCGTGGAAATCCTCCACCTGCTGCCGCGTCACGTTGATGGAAACCTCCCGCACCTTCAGCCCTGAGAGGGAGAGGCAGAGAGTCAGCAGGGACAGGCAGCGGGGCCCAAACCCATCCTTTGATCAACACTGCCCTTCCAATCAGGGCAAAGCCGTAATTACCTGCACAATAATGTCGTGCCACTAATTAAATTCTGTACGACGAGCGGGCCGTAACGCACTGAGTGCCAGGAATTGCCCCCACCGTGATCTTTGCAACTCCTCGCTCAGAATCCTCATCCCTGGTGCCTCCTCCACCCAGGGTGTTTGTCTGCAGTTCAGTCATGTGCAATAAAAACGTCTTTAAAGGACATCTCCATGCCCTGCACTCCCTCAAGCACAGGGGGAGATGAGCACGTGGCCCCTGACACCAGGAGTGTTTCCCCAACAGAGCCCAAAGGTAAATTCCAGACTCCAGGATCCTTCCACACCTCTCCTGTGGCACCCCCGGGATGTTCCCCAGACCTGCAGCCACCTCGGCATGGCAGCCCTGGGAGAGGAAATCCAATCCAAAGCCAGCACTGGGAACCATTCGGAAGAGTCAGAGAAACATTAAATGAAAACAGAAAACATTCAGGCCTTGCTCTTCCTCCCCTCTCCTCCAGCACAGTCCCCAGGCAGTTATTTCCCCTCCACTGGAAATGGAGGCAAACCCAATCTCACCGTATTTCATGCCTGTGGAGTTTATAAAGCAGCAGGAATTCTAAACCTGAACTCCATAAAAATTGGCTTCCACTTAATCTCAGGCATCATTAACAGCTGGGCAGGCACTCCTCAAAGGCACTGGGAAGTCACTGTGCTCCTCGGGCAAGAGCAGGGACGGGGTTCACTGGGGATGCTCCAAGAGGGAAACTCAGACAAGCTTTAAATCCTGTACAAAAATACAGGATATTTGATACTTTTCCAGCAAGAGGAAAAGTGGATTTTTACTTCTTTTCATTAAGCCTGGCTTACAATGAAAGCCAAAGACAGGGACAAACCCTTGACATCTCCCCAAGTTGTCTCAAGAACCCCTTCAATCCCTCAGATATTTATTCCCGTGCAACAAACAAACACAGGTTTTCTGGCTGCTTTTTTTTTACCCCGTGTTGATGCCGTTTTTAACAAAACTGTTTACAAAGCCTCCCTTTATTTCCTGACACGGAGACAACAAACCCTGAGGAACAAAGGCTCTGCCAGAGACCCTGCCAGGAAAATGCACCCCCTGAACGAAACCATCCCTGCTCTGCCAGCCAAAAATCCTTGTGTTCTGGCATGAAAACATTTTGCAGAGTGATGTGCAGAGGTTTAAGGTAAGAGAAACTCCATGGAGATCCCTCAGAGGGGACTGGAGTGCTGGAGACAGAGCAGGGCTGCCCTGGCTGGGGGTTTGGGACCCCAGCAGGAGCAGCTTCCCAGGGGAAAACCCTCCCTGGATTATCCAGAGCTGACCCCACTCACACCCCCAGCTCCTGCTCCCGCCACTCCTGAGCTGCTCTGGGGATTTTGGGAAGCAGCAAAGAGAGGCAGAGGTGTGGGAGCTGCCCCAGCACAGCCCCTGCTCGCAACGACAGCATTTTGATACCAAACAAGAAAAAGTCATCACTTGATGATGAATTTTGGAGAAGCTGATGCCATTTCTTGGCTCCTGGGTGCTGCAAATTTCTGAGCAGGCGTCAGTGAATTCAGGCATTTACAGCTCCAGATTTATTAAGGTGGAATAGTCTCCAGCCCAGCTCTTCCTTTCATTGACACGGCGTTTAATTAATCTATAAATCAGCCTGTATTTAGTGTGGCAAACAAAGAGCACACGGTTTGGGGAAGCTGGTGGTTCAGCGTTTTGAGAATGGGCCAGGTAGGAATTCAGGTCCTCTTAAAGGTCTCCCAGTTCACCCATAGACCAAATAAATGTATCCAAAACTGCAGAATCTCGGAATTGTTGGGGTTGGACGGGACCTCCGGAGAGCACGGGGTCTTTGGGGGAAGTTGTGCTTTGTTTATGGAGGAAGTACAGCGATTTCCATTTGTTCTAGGAGCAACGACAGAAAGCAAACCTATTGGGAGGAGAGGAATATTCTCCATTTATCACCCCCGTATTTCAGCAGCAAACCCATCCACCTCCCCTCTGCACCTCGGGAAGCACCGGGAAAATCCTTCATGGGAGTGACACCGGGTGAAAAATCCCCGCAAATCAAAGCAGGCACCTCATAAAGCACAGCGACATTTTACCTGCGACTCCAATAACTCCAATAAGCACCGCGAGCCCAACCCTTTAAATTATTGTGCAAATTAGAACCATCATCTTTTGTTTTACAGTAGAGCCGTGCAGAATATCAAGTGCTGGCTGTGGCACTGAAATGCTAATGGGCTCTGCTGGATGCTCGAGCTGCACAGACCCTGGCAGCAGATGAATAATTGCTCTCCGTGTACTAAACACAACGGAGCTGCAGAGAACTTCGGCATTTGTCAGCTTTATTTGTTTAAATGAGAAAAACACTGACAGCAGTTATTGCTGTAATCCTTCCAGTTATCAGACAAGGAAACTCTGCGAGCGGGGCTGAGCCTCTGCTGAACCCCGGCCTGAAACAGCCGGGCAGGTTCTGGAGCGTGCAGGAAATGCAGCAGAGGGAAATTAATCAGCCCCTAATTGCCACACTTTCATCACAGCAGCATCCACGAGCTCGGCTCTCCCTTGATGAGGCAGAGCACAGAGAGAGCCAAGTCCCTGCTCTGCCACGCTTGGGAATAAACAGGAAAAGCGGAGGCAGAGCAGCAAAACCTCCATGGGGACACTCCAGGCAAAGCCTTCCAGACATCACCAGGCAGCAGCAGCGTCCTGCAAAACCCTCCCTGTCCTGCTGCTCCTCCTCACGGACACTCCTGGGCTACTCTGAGGCCTTCATTCCTCTCCTGTAAAACGAAAATCATGGAAAACTGGGCTCTGTGCCAGTCACGGTGACAAAGCCCACCCGAGCGGAGTCCCTGCCTCGGGACCTGAGTGCCACTGCAGCCCCTCTGCCAGGATCTGCCACGGGAGCTCAGCCACGTTCCCCCACTCAGCACCAAACTCAGCC